GAACACCCATATCTCTGCCACCTCTTGTTCTTCCAAGAATTGTTCTACAGTTAACTTCTTTTTAATAATTAGCATAGCTAAATTTGCTTTATCATGTATCTACCATCTCTTTATCTTTCAATCCACCTTACTACTTCGATGCATTTCAAAGTAAGTTAAAAATGTCAGTATACTTTACCCCTAAATACTTAAGCCGCATGCATGATTCTGTAATTCACATTCAAAAATTAAACCAGTACTGTTGGATTTAAATTAATTGCAAGTAAGATAAAAGTGCTGTGGCTACAATAAAGTTCATGGAATTTTCTGTCTAAGGTTAAAGACTGTATTCTTTTGTTCAAAATATTAATGGGTAACACAGTGATGAAGTTATTTTCAACTGTCCACACAGAGGATGGGGAGGCACGTGAAAGGGATGAAATTAGACACGACAGGCGGAAAGAGAGACAGCATGACCGGAATCTTTCCAGGGCAGCTCCTGATAAGAGGTAGGTGCTATTTGAGATAAAATACGAATTATGAAAAATGGCCTTTGTGAATTTCATAGAGAGGTTTAGTCCACTAATACCAGTGTTTCTTCTCTTTAGTTTGATAATAAGTCAGCATTTATTTTCTTGCCCTTAACTACTTAACTTGTCTTAGCAGAAGAATCGACTATCCATGGAAGTAATCTTTTCTTCCATCACCTTGTAGAGTCAGCTAGACTTGAAAGTGATGAGGATATAGAAAAGGAAATTCAGATCATGTTTGTGAAAAGAAGGTACTGGATAGGACTCTTCTGGTCTGTTCTCTGCCAATTTCAAATGATGAGGCAAATTCACTATGTGCCTGTTCCTCTAGATGGGAAATAAGCTGTGAGGACTTCACTGAGACCCTGCTCCACGCAGAGCACTGCAGGGAGCACAGTGGGGGAGAAAAGCGGGTTTTGCAGGAAGTGAAAATCGGCCTCTTCTCACGAGCAGTTTCATTTAAAATTCAAAAAGGCATAGTTATTATATAAAAATGACTTGGGAAAATTGACAAAGCACTGTATTTAAAATTAAAATAGCTGACATGCAGTTGACATATAGACAAAGCTCTCTTAATAAGCACAGACCTGTATAGAACACACTTCAAATAAGTAGGGATTGTTGAAGTTTGTGGTTCACCAAAGGCTGAAGACTGAAATTGCTGAAAAGTTGAGAAAATGCTGTAATATGGAGGTAAAATTCAGAATGGAGGTTAAGTGCAAATATAAAACATTTTCTTTTCCTAATGAGCAGTTTTCAAGACTCTCATCATCCTATGAGCTGATGCAATCCATTTTCTCAATTCATATCTTAAACATGAAAAAGAAGATTTTTCTGCTAGTAGTGTTTAATGGCATATTTCATCTTCCTGGATAAGTGAAGTCTTGGAAAAGCAGAAAATCTGAATTTAGAGTTGTGGATAAATGTTTAGTGTAGAAGAAAGAGAAATGAAGTGTGAAAGTGCTGTTAATGTACTTTTGGTCAGAAATTCCTAAGCTACAAAAATAACTACATAAATTGGGCCCTTAAAACCAGTAAAGTGGCTATGAGAATTGATAACATAGAAAAACTGTAAACTAGTGATTGGATGAAAATCAGATTGTCTATAGAAATCATTTCAAGACCTGAGCTTATAGCAAAATAAATGACAATTACCATGATTTCATTGTGATGTAGATTGCATTACATACTGAAACAGCAGGGAAATTAATCTGATGTCGAAAATCCTACTGAGTAATCCAGTCATTGATGTGCATTCCTCAAAATTCTAATAAGATAAAATGACCAGTATGGTTGGGTTAAAAAACTGATTCTGGCTTATAGAAAATGATTCATGTCATACTTTTACTTTGTATCCAGTCCCCCTCCCGTCCTCATATAGTAATAGCAAATATAGACTACAACAACTTCATATCTCAGCATGTGTTGTAAGGTGATTGCTTGTATTTTAAAGACTTCTCTCTCGAGAATGAGTCTCTAAGCAATTCTTCTCAGCTAACAGGAGGGCCTAATTATAAAACCCTGGCTCTTCTAATAATCATCTGAAATGCTGTAAGGGCTGCCAACCTGATTATGCATTATCAGGGAATATATGTTCACAAGATGTTAGAATGACATATTTCCTTTGCTTCTGAGATAGGTTGTGTTTTTAAAATTGAAATTCAGCTTGTCTGAAGAGTTTTCAGTTAGTGACATTGTATTTTAACAGGTCAAAACTGCAGAGAAATGAAAATCGAGATATCAGTGAGGCCATTGCGCTTGGTGTGCCCAATCCTCGAACTTCCAATGAAGTTCAGTATGACCAAAGGCTGTTCAACCAATCCAAGGTACAGTAGAAATAGTGTATCTTAAGTGTTAATATGGATACCAATCCTCAGGGAAAAACACATGCACATAGCCTAGATTTGGATCAACCTAAGGAATGCTGGCAGGACGACAGAAAAGACTTGGGCGTTGCATGTTGTAATATAAGAGACAATTAGGATGAAACAGCTCTAATTTTGACCTCTTACAGTTTGCTGAGATGTGAAAATCTCGTAGAAAATGAAAGAAGTTAGGTTATAAAATTTGGTTCTGGTATGTTATTTTTTTAGTTCTAAAATAGAGCCAGTGTCCTACAAAAGTATCTCTTAATTTTTGTTGATCTTTGAAAATGTAATACACTGACACACATAAAACTGGGATCTTTAAAAAATGAGACTGTGTGTAAAACTAGATTAAAGTCCTAGTCAGGAAATCTAATTTCTAGTACGAGCTGTCATTAACTAGCTAGGACACATTAGGTCTGATGAAGTACCTTTGTGTTTTAATTCACCCAGCATTATTTATTCTGCGTAAATGAGTGAGATCAAAGATAGATGTGTCTGCCCTCAGAGAGCCCTCAAGTCTACTGGAGAAGACAAATATATGTATATAAACAAATAAATAAATAAAGACAAGACAGACTGTGTTAAGAATATATAAGTATAAAGTTCTGGTGGGGTATAGAGGGAGAAAAGGTGATTATGGTTTGGAGGTTTTAAGACCTGAAGATAGTGCGCAGCCCGGTATGGCTCAGTTAGTGGGGCGTTGTCCCACAAAGCGAAACATTGCTGCTTTGATTCCCAGTCAGGGCAACATGCTTGAGTTACGGGTTCAGTCCCCAGTCAGGGTTTCTGATCGATGTTTCTTACATTGTTGTTTCTCTCCCTCTCCCCCACCTTCTCTCTAAAAATAAATAAATAAATCCTTTAAAGAAAAAAAAAAAGTTAAAAAAACCTGAAGGTAGCATTCGAGTAAGCTCTTCTAGTAAATAAGTGCCTGGGTGCTTTTTATATTCCTGGCATTGTTTTAAGTCTTTTACTTATTTTACTTAACCCTTACAAAAGCTCTATGAAGTCACACCATTATCACCTCTATTTAAAGATGAGGAGATTGTGACACACAGAGGTTTAGCTAATAACTAACTAATGGAACTCAGATTTCAAACATGGGCTGTCTTGATTCCAAAGCGTATGTTCTTAAACACTATGTATGCAATGGCATCCTACCAGTCTGAACAAAACGGTTTAGGAATGAAAGTTCCACATAAGTAAATACATGACAGTCACCCCTTATGAGGTGAGGCTTAAATGTTGTGATGACAATTTTTCTAAATATATGAAACAAATTTATTGACTTAAGAGTTTCATCCAGAGCCCTATTATCTCATGCTATAATTGGGATGTTCTCAGGCAGTTACGGGGTGTATTAGTCTAAATGGCATCAGATGTTTTAGTTCTTTTATCTTCTTGCCATTATGTTTATACAAATTGAAATTGTCAAATACCTGCTTATACTAGTATCCCCATTTTGACTACCTCTGTATAGTAGTCAAAGTTGTTCATGAGTCCCTTATTTAATCTAAGGACCCAAAGGTAGTATGAACAAAAGTTTATGGACTTTGTTTTTTTATGATGATCTTTTTGAGTTCAGATTGTTGAAAATGTGAGCTATAAATGTAGTCAAGAGTCACATGAATAAAGTCAGATGCAAATTTTAATAAATAATAATATATACTTAATGTCCTCTGTTTTTCCACAGGGTATGGACAGTGGTTTTGCAGGTGGTGAAGATGAAATTTACAATGTTTATGATCAAGCCTGGAGAGGTGGTAAAGATATGGCCCAGAATATTTACAGGCCCAGTAAAAATCTGGATAAGGACATGTATGGTGATGACCTTGAAGCCAGAATAAAGACCAACAGGTACCAAGCAAACAGTTCAGTTTCAGTGTTTGTACCAGTGAAAATGAAGTATATCATAGTCCTTTCTCTTTTTCCATAGATTTGTTCCCGATAAGGAGTTTTCTGGTTCAGACCGTAGTAGGCAAAGAGGTCGAGAAGGACCAGTTCAGTTTGAGGAGGATCCTTTTGGTTTGGACAAGTTTTTGGAAGAAGCCAAACAGCATGGTGGCTCTAAAAGACCTTCAGATAGCAGCCGCCCCAAAGAACATGAGCATGAAGGCAAGAAGAGGAGGAAGGAGTAGATATCCCTCTTCATAGTGAATGGACTATTATCCATAACCCTAATGATGCAAGTCATATGGGGGAACACTTTGTAAATGGGCCAGATAAAAACCAAATCTGGGTATCATACCCCAGCACTACTTTTTATTACGGGAGAAAGGGGGGGATGGAAGATTCTACTTTGAACTATTTAGTTTTTTTAAAGAGTGAGTTGTGTTTGTGCTTCTCCCACCTTTTGGCATTTATAGAACATACTGCCCCACACATGAAATTAAGACCACTTCCTTTTGTTTGACGTCAGTACTTTGGGGTTAATATTTGGTGTAAGAATGACTGCTTATGAGTAAAGTTACCCCAACCACAGTGAGTAGAAGGATGTTCACATATTGGAACTGTCCTGCCAAATGATGTTTGCCCCTATTGTGCTCTGTTTTAATCTGGAGTGGGGAAAATAAGCGCTTGCTTGGTGCACCTATTTGTTTCAAATAAAAACATTTAGACAAAATTTTCAGTTTTGTTACTTTATTTAATACACACTAATAGTCTCAAAAATCTTCATCAGATGTTTGATCCCCCTGCAAAACTTTTGGTCTCTGAGCTTGAACATGGAGCTGGAAGAAGAAAAAAAAAAAATAAGCACTGTAAAGAAAGGCAATGTCTGCAAAAACATTAAAACAAAATTGCTGCCCTGACCAGTGTGGATCAGCTTGGTTGGGCTTTGTCCCACAAAGCAAAAGGTCACCAATTCAATTCCTGGTCAGAGCGCATGCCTGGGTTGCGGGTTCAGTTCCCAGCCAAGGCATGTACGAGAGGCAACCAATCGATATTCCTCTCTCTCCCTCCCCCTCTTTCTAAAAATAAATCTGTTTTTTTAAAAACTTGAAAATTGCCATATTATTATTGCATTTTTATTAGGGAATCAGCATTAGTAAGATGTTCTTTGTTCAAAAGACTCCCTAAATACTGAAAATCATAAATCAGTTTGACCCAAGGTCATATAGTAAATGGAAAAGCCAGGATTTTAACTCCTGACTTGCAAGTAGACTGCTGTTTCCACTATTCGATGTTTGCATGCGCTTGCTAATCAGGGTCTTCCTTTACTTCCCTCCCCAGACCTTTGAGCACTGGGCACTCTACCACAACGACTATTCTTAAGCAAATCTCCCAAAATCCCACAGTTCTGACCTATTTAACTGATACACAGAAAGTTCATGACGATATAGAAAAATACCTTTACTCCATCAATAACATGATTGTCCTGCTGTAGTGCATTCTGAAGTTCTTCTTCTGAAGAAAACTGAATCCAACCCATACCTCTGTGAAAGCCAGTCTCTTTGTCCTAAAAGTTGAGAATTTAGGAAAACAATCATGAACTTGAGAAAGTTGCCATAAGCTCCATACCAATCTACCAATTTTCTCATTTACCAAAATGGGATAAGACATTTTAATAAAGTCAAAAACCTTAATATATATTCATTCACTCTCCTAGTTACCCAAAGCTTAACCCCTATGTTATGCTGACTGTATCATTCTCTATGCTTTTCTGCTGCCAGTGGAGAAATACAAGAATGAGCTTTCTGTGCCATTCTAGGTACAAAACACACAACAGCAATAGTCAAGGGAAACCAATCACATAAGAAGTACTCTTCCTGTTTCTAACTCTCTCACTTCTAGAAAGGAGATTTAAGCTTCAGAACCTTGTTATATTTCTAGTAATTCTGACACCAATCACCCTCTTCACCACCACTACCATTATCACACCTCCTAATGAAAAACAGAAAAAAAAGAAAAAATACACATATATTACCCTTAATTACTTAGTTCCAGAATTGTGGTTACAATTTTGCTACTTTGTGCAAAACGCAGAGTGCTTATCATTCAACCTATACATCAGCACATGTGGAAAAAGATTCTAGTGTGCTTGGAGGTACCCTGCCCCCCACCCCACATCAGCTTTACTATGTAAAACATACCAAGATGTCTATTCACTTAATGTACATAATCAGTCTTGTTACCAAGTCTTATTGTGACCCCCAAAACCAAACTCCTGTAAACTGCCCACATACTTCAAAAGTAACCTAAGCATTAACCTAAAACCCAGGAAAAATTTCTAGTAATGTCCCAGTGATTCATTCCTTCAGATAAACAGGGCAATTCCTAAAGCACTCTTCTCTGCCTCCATAAGGCCTTAAAATTTGTTAAAACTTAGATACTATATATCTAAAATGGGAACCTGGTTTTCCAAATTGAGTACAAAGAATTTAACTAGAAAGTAATTTTTTTCTTGTTACATTTTATTTAGGTTTACCAAGAATCAAAGCCTTCCTTTGTTTAAATCTTAAGATCTGTTAAGTGCAGGTCCTAAATTATTTTGTTTTTACTTAAAGGGAAATGGCAACCAAGAAATAGCTGTAACTTTTTTTGGAGAAACTTCAAGAGAAACATTTCATACTCTGTAAAATTGTAGTTTTTAAGCTTACAGATATTCATGTATAATAATACACAAACCCCATTCTTTTAAACCAACAGTATAAAATTCCATTGTATCAATGAATTAATATCTATTTAATCCCACCAATGTACGTTTAGGTTCTGTCCTATTATGATACAATTAAACAATGCTGCTTTGCACATTTTGGCCACGTACTTCTGTAGAATAAATTCCTAGAAACAACTGGTAAAGCAAAGCAAAGGCAAATTCTTAATTTTGACAGATTTTGCCAAAATGTCCTCCCAAAATGAAAGTACCTGTTAAATTTAGCAATGTGGATGCCAGCTTTCCTACACATGCATTAGCACTAGATATGTAATCCGTTAGATTTTGGAAGCTAAGTAACGTTAAAGCAAGAGTTGAGTACTTAATTCAGATTGCTATTTTACCATAGCCTTTTCAATGCCATGAGACAAAAAATATGGGGAAGTTTTAGTGAAGCATGTGTAAACTCTACTCACATCACACCCTGCCAAGAAGGAAAATTCTAGAAAGCCACAGAGAAATACAGGATAAAGCAGAACAAATTATAGACTGATTTCTAAACCCTCATGAGAAAGCAAAGGAAATGTAATAAATATAAAAACACTTTTTAAAAACACCTACCTTAATGAGGAAAAAGATTAAAATAGCTACTCTTCACCAATTAACTTTAGATGAACTATCCTGTACTCTCTCAAGTCATTATTATAATACTGTAGTAGGCAGAATTCTAAGATGGCCCCATAACCTCTACGTGTCCCACCATGTAACCCCTGTATAATCCCCTCCCCTTGAGTGTGTGTGGGGTGAAAAGTGGGGGGCACCTGTGACCACCTTCTAATCAAAAGAATGTACGGCAAAAGTGACGTGGTGTTGCTCCCTTGATCAGGTCATAAGGCAACGGTGATGGTGTGTCACCCCCATGAAGATGTGATAAGACTGTCCTAGCAGACTAGAGAAAGAAACTCCCTTCCTGACTTGAAGGAAGCAAGCTGCCATGCTGGGGAATAGTGTCCCGAGAAGCCAGATTAACAAGACACTGCAGGCAGTCCCTAGGATCTGTGGGCCACCTCCAGCTGAAAGCCAGCAAGAAAGCAGATATCTCATCGCAGTCTTGCAGATGAAAGATGAGTTCTGCCGACAACCTGCAGGAGCTTGGAAATCAATCCTTCCCAGTTGCACCTCTGATGAAACCGAAGCCCCAGCTTACACAATGGCTACAGTTATGTAGACCCCGAGCAGAACCCCCACCGAGATTGTGCCCAGACCTCTGATTTACAGAAACTGTGAGAAGATACATGTATGCTGTTTTGGGCCACTAAGTTCATGGTAATTTGCTATGCAACAATAAAAAATTAGCATAAATGCCTAGGATAAGGGATTTTGTGGGGTTTTTTTACTTTTTAATCAGTATCACCCATAATTTTATCAACAAAGACTGAACAGCTTCACTCCATTAAACATTCAGGTAAGTTGATATAATTTGACCAAAAAAACCCAAAAAATTAGGAATCAAAGGATAACATTAACACTTTAAAAAAAAAATAGTACTCACAAAAGGTACAGTGCACTTTCGTATATGGCCAAACTGTGCAAAGTGTTCTCTCAGCTCACCTGTATTAGAAAACACATGAAAATTAGTTAATGCCTTTTGTATCCTCCATCCTACAGTGTAGATAGAAACCAACAGGGGTCCCAGAATCCCCAGACTTCTTGTGGATAGGAGAAACTTTGCATCTCCTGAAGCCTTAAGATTTAGGAGGGAGCCACGGCATTGACTATAAAGCTGTAATGTACCAGATTTGGGGAAGTGACAGGGTGGGGACATGGATAGAGAAAAATTGCTAAGTTGTCTGTAGTCTACACACCCCCAGTACTGTACTAAGTACAATGGGTTAAAATCCCTGTGAGAAGATCACACAGAAGACAATTACCATACAGAGTGTTGCTAGCTACATTAGAGATTTCCAAATAATATCTCAATTTATCTGCCTTTCGTAATTTAAAGTTTACACTCGGTTAAATAGTTGGTTTTCTAAAAGTTGGTGAGTTGACTCTACCTACTCTTCCTTCCTTATTTCCCATTGCTGCACAGCAAATGAATTTCTGTGTATGCATCCTGTGGATTCCCATCTTTGCACGTCATTCTTTTCTCCTTGACGTGCCAGTAATCCTATCTCCTCCTGCCTAAACTGTAACTATCCTTCAAGACGGAGGCCAAATACATACACTGAATATTATTTTATTGGGCTTCTACTGTAATACAAGACAACACAGTAGCTCTATGAGGGCTCAAAGATGAACAGTGGATAATGTTAAAGACCAAAAAACTACATAATCTTTCTCTTCTGAACTATAGTGCTTGTACTTCCTGATTTGTATTTCTATTACTTGCCTACTTCCCTTAGTTTATTTAACCTCATTGGTTCGGCAATTGCCTACATTTGTGCTTTGTAAGTCTCCTCACCTCCTCCACTACAGCACAAGCTCCCTGAATGTTCAGTCCACTATGTCCACAGGGATTGATACATAGTCGAGTAATATTGGATGAATGGATAAATGTCTATAATGCTTTCAAAAACCCACAGGGACTAAATTTCTGAAGAGCTCTAATAGTTGGTCAAACCAGTCGATAACATCATAATCTCACAGAACGTTACTGGAGGATTAACAAAATAGTGTTAAATACACTTTTTAAACCACAAGATTAACATTTTAGAAAACATTCACTTCTAAAACATACTAGCTCTGGAGGGTAACCCTTTTCCCAAATTGTCTACAATTTTTACAGAAAAACAGCTATAAGCATCAGGAACAATGCCTACCACAAAACAGATAACTCCTTAAATATGTGCTGAATGATTGACTGAATGAATGAATGAACGGACTCAGAGAAACTCTTTCAAAGTTGAATGCTATAAAGAGACTTTTAGAAGGTTTTAAATCAACCAATTATGGTATGAAATCTTGTATTTACAAGATGCTGCAGAAATCCCTTAATCTTCTCACAGCTTCATAGGGCCCGAACACGACATTTTACTGGGCTTGGTTTTCACCCGTAACATATTGAGAAGGTGGGACACAAACCAATCTGCTTCCCATCCTACTGTCTTACCTGGGCCACAAAAACTAAGAGAAGCATAACCCTTGTTCTATTGTTTAAGGAGCGGGTCTCACACATGAATTATCTACAAAAGTGACCTTATGCAAATGTAAAATATTAAATTGTAAAAATGTAAATTGTAAAACTGCTTATCAAAATTTTGGTAAGCAAAGGTAAAAACCTTATCTCAAACCAGCATCTGACCTAAATCAAAGTTGGTGAGAGATTTCAGTACTGATTACTCCCAACTCTCTACCTCCAGCCTATGGCTCCCCCATGAGCTCCAATTTGGGTAATTGTGAAACGTATCATTTATTGTTTATTCTGTATCTACCACAAATCTAAGCAGTTTATATATAAACTCATTTAATCCAATCAACAACCTTATGGGGAAGATATTACTCACTCCACTTTATAGAAACTGATGTGCAGTGGTGACCCCTTTGCCCAAATTACCTTCCGTTAGGTTCTACAACGATTAAACAGCCGAGTTGGAATTCTAGCCCAAGCAGCATGCCTTCAGAGTGCACTTTTCAATCAACGATAACACAGCATCCTCTGTCCAACTGCCTCACGAAGACCTTACAGGTTTATTCAAACTCAGCACGTTTAAACTTTACTCATCTCCTTTCGACCTACTTATACATTCTAACGAAATTCACCAATGCTAAAAACCTGGAAGTCATTCTTCCCCATCCCTCTTTCTGCGCTCTACTGGCCTTCAAGCCGTTCACGAAAAGCTGTCAGTTTTGTTAACATAAATGAATCTCACCTCTCTCCTACCACTACGTTAGTTCAGGTGCTCATCTTTGAACTAAATTACTGAAATTGCCTTGTATTTCGTCTCCTCGCCTCTAATCTTGCCACTCTGAATTCACTTCCCACACCGTAATCAAACTAATCCTTTCGAAGGAGTAAATCTTAAAGTTTCAGAGTAGGAAAGCCTGTCCACCAAATCACCCCAAAAGGCAGGAGACCGTGAATACGTGCCCCAAAAACTCAAGGGACATCCTTAAATGGTTAATTGCAAATATTCTGCTGCTTGGTGGACTCAGAGGCAAACTCAGCCAGTTTCCTAATCCAGCCACCACGATGATTTAAGCGCTTTGCAGAAAGCAGAGCTCTTGAGGACCTATTACACCTAAAAATTCTGCCCCTACTACGTCTCCCTCACTCACTTGAGGCGGCGGTCCAAGGAATTTTTCTGACAAAAGCAATGGGCCGGCTAACGCTCGTCCGCAGAGCCGTAACGGTCCTAACTGCCGAAGCCGCCATCTTTAGCTTGAGACACATCCATGACCTGTGCTGGTGACCCCAGAAAAACCGGCCAGATCCGGAGCACGGCAATGTGCTTCCGGGTCAAAGGATGCCGGGTGGCGAGATGGGGAAGATGGCGGCGGCGCTGGGCTCTGTGGCTACGCTGGCGACGGAGCCAGGGGAGGACGCCTTTCGGAAGCTTTTCCGCTTCTACCGGCAGAGCCGCCCCGGGACCGCTGACCTGGGAGGGGTCATCGACTTCTCGGCGGACCACGCAGCCCACGGCACGGGGCCCGGTGCTCACAAGGTACGGAGATAGCGGCGCGCGTCTCCCCGCCGGCTTGCCTAGCTTTTTGGAGGGGTTTCTGTGTACTCCTCACCTCTTAACGCTTACAGACTGATTGTTACTAAGCGATCCCAGTCTCCGCGGGCACGTAATTGAACTGCCCAATAAACGCCACACTTGAGCGGAAAAGAGCTGATACGGGCTTCTCCACTCAGCCATTCCTTGCTACGCTCTTAGTAAAAAAATGTCTGGAAATTGGTATCTGTTACTTCCATTAACTTGCATTTCTACTTATATTTGTGTAAATATCCGTAAACCTGTTTCGTCGACGTTAGGGTAACGCTCTCTGTGTCTTGAAAGAGCCAAGCATCCTAGTAATCCCAGACCTGGGAAAGAGCTATGTTGTTAAGCTGTTGTCCGTGTAAGTAGGACCTGTCTTGTCTGAGCCTTCTAGAAAGAAACCTTTGAAAGATTCTGGGATAATCTCTCCAAGTTTAAAGTAAAGGGCTGCCGAATCCAAGCATCGTCCATTATTTCTACTTTTCCCCATGGAAATTAAGGAAAGTATCATGGGAGACAAGGGGCAGGGGTAACAGGGAGAACCGTAAGTATAGTGTAATGTACATTTTCCCTACAGTTGCTTTAGCACTGAGGATACCATTTGCCCTTGGTATTGTACATAGATGACTGGATGAGGCATTCTTTCCAAGCTTAGGAATAGTTCTCAATAAAATTGGAATGCCATAATGCCACCATATTTGTCTGGAACTCAGCTCTAAGAAACTTCATTTGTCAGTCGAAATGGTCATAGAGTTCTCAGTATAACGTACAGAAAGTCTGCATCACAAGAATAATACACTCGATTTATGGGAGGGCCACTCAGATTATCATGCAGCTACTTTTGCCCACACTTGACTATAATGCTTGCATACTTTTAGAATGTAAATCACCTGAAAAGGGTGACATTGTGTCTAGCACATACCTAAAACAGTAAGTACTCAATAAATACACTGAATATGTCAAAACTTGGATACTTACTCCCCCCCCCCAAAAAAAAACAGATTGAAAGGAACAAATTAGAGAAGAAAGTTACTATTAAAAGACACCTAATGAGAGCAGTGGAGAAAATGAGTGAGGCAACAGAAAAAAAAGCTATTTAAAAGCTCAGCATTTGGACCTGGCTGGTGTGGCTTAGTGGATTGAGCACGGGCCTGCGAACCAGAGAGTCGCCAGTTCAGCTACCGGTTAGGGCACATGCCTGGGTTGCAGGCCAGATCCCTAGTTGGGGGCGTGTGAGAGGCAACTGGTCACTGTGTCTCTCACACATCCATGTTTCTCTCCCTCTCTTTCTCCCTCCTTTCCCATTTCTCTAAAAATAAAATAAATTAAAAAAAAAAAAAAAGGCTCAGAGTTTGGTTCAATTTAGCATATGATAGTTCCACAAACTTATTTTGAGGATATTGCTGATTTACAGTACAGTATTGAGAATGGTCTGTTTAAGAAATTATCACAGAATGTTTAAAATTAAAACATTTTATCAGCCTCTGGGTACCTGGAAAAGTTAGCTTGGTCAGAACTCTCAGAGACTTCCAGATAGCCATTTTATTATATAGACTAGTTATGTACCAGCCACATGCTGCTATTTTGCCTAGAAATCTCCACACTTGGTGAAGTTAATAGAATAAGAGATTGTATCTCTTTGTAAGAGAATATTTGATGTATTCTAAGGCAAGCCAGACCCTAAGTTTATTATTCATGAAAGAGTAAAGCTGTTTGTTTTTTTCCTAAATGTCCTTTAATGACTTCGTATTGGATCTCTTAACCAATTTAATGAGCCATTCGTAAGATGCTCTACATGCAAATAAAATTTCATGAGCCCCTGAAAAACTTAATTCCTAATTAATTAGCAGAGCCAGAAAGTTATGACTGTCAATTTGAAGTTTTGTTTAAAAGAGAGCAAATGTTATGCTTTAAGCAAACAGGGTTCCCAGTGTTTTATTGATACATTTTTTCTGTATGGTTAGAGTGTTCTCTTTCCCTTCTCTCACCCTCCCCAGCTTGGTGTTCCTTACAGCTCTGTTTAAACATCAGCTGTGTGCAGATGCCTCAGAAGCATCATTATTAGCCCTAACTGAAGTAAACAGCATTGTGACTCAGAAAAAGGTACTCCGGTACACCATACACCTTTCATGATCAGAGTCCAATAAGACATCACAAAGGTGTGGTATCATAAGAAAAAGTAGTTTTGAAGGCCAGAATCAGCCTGCTTCTCATTAGTACCTATCTTAATTTTATATCACTCTCTAGTGTTAGTATAGAGATGAAGAAACTGAGGCTCTAAGAAGTTAAGTGACTTAATGTAAGTCTTATATCAAGTAAGTAGTAGAACTAAGTTTAGGACCCCAGGCGTAGGACCCCTAACTTTGCCCCATACTAGAAACGTCTTTAGAGGTTTGCGGTTCTCAGAGTTGGCCTGTAAAACAACTTTAGCCCTCTGACTTGTTTCCTTCCTGCCAGGTGGTCAGATCTCAGCTAAGTGTGTCTTCAGTCAGTGACCACAATGCACAGAGAGCAGGACTTCAGCCAGTCAGCAAGTGGCGAGCTTATGGACTTGAAGACTATCCTGGTAAGTGCAGCTGACCTAGAAGGTGAAATCAGTTCATTTGTGTAATTTCAGAAGAGGAGCTTGTACACTAATGAATAGACGAAGAAAAAGGTAAACGCACAGAAATGTTTCACTCCCGCACCCCTTCTGAATTCTGCCTCATCTAAGATTTACGTTTATTTAACACTCCCAAAGAATAGAACAGGAGTCAGCAGTGCTGCTTATATTGCAGAAAGTGGCACGCCAGGTACAAATCAAAAACCAGGACATTGATTCTGGGCTCCCTGCTGCAACTCTCTGAACACCCACCTCCTCTGGCAGAAGAACCACTTTGAGCAGTAGAGTAATTCATAATGGTCATTCCAGACACAAAATCTCTGTATCCTCAAATGGCATAAAAACAACCTAAAAATTGTTGCTATCATCAAGGCTGAGTATTTTTTTAAAAATTATAGTTAATGAGATTAAAAGTACTAATAGACTAATCTAGAATTTGTATTTTGGTGATGTTGGGTAGTTCACTTTACAGATAAAATAATAATGAAGAATGGGTAATGTTGCCCTGGATGGTGTGGCTCAGTGGATTGAGCGCCGGCCTGCAAGCCAAAAGGTCTCTGGATCAATTTCTAGTGAGGGGACATCCCTGGGTTGTGGGCCCGGTCCCCAGTTGGGGATGTGCAAAAGGCAACCAATTGATATTTCTCTCTCCCTCTCTTCCCCTCTTTCTAAAGATAAAAAAATGAAATCTTTTTTAAAAAGTGGGTAATGTTATTCAATGTTATTGATATAAAATAATTTAATATTTAAAATAATATTAATACTTTTTAATTGTTCAAGTGCAGTTGTCTCCATTTTCCTACCACCATTTTCCCCCACCCCCACTCACCTCCACCTTTCACCCTCAGTCCTACCTAATATTAATATTAAGATTGATTATTATGAACTATTCAGAAAATACGGAAGGATCTTATTTGGCCAGATAATCTTGTATCTGTCATCTTGTTTCTTTCTAGAGGACATAAAGTTAACATTGCTCTTGTGATTTTAAATATGGATTAAAAGCAAGAGATGCCCTAAAAATAAATACTATTTTTTTGTTGTGCTAAGGGCCAGGTCTGTTACAGCTCTTAATACAGCATGACCACTAAAGTATTTGTTGATAACATGGAAAGGTGGAGCAGCTTTAATACTTTCTATAAAGGGCTTCTGTATAAAAGAACTAAAGACCGGTCTTATGATTGAAATCACAAAGGGAGCAGTCGACTGATGGCCTTTATATATGAAAGCATTGCTCTCCAGAGTTTAGGTAAATGAGGAAAATGCATCACCATCAGTCTTTTAATCATTTTTTTGTTCTTGAAGGCTGCCCTTTACCTTTCAGACAGACCTAGCTCCTATTTTCAAGGCCATGTTTTCCTTAACAGACTGTTCAGACTACAGAGTTAGCAACCCTACTTTGGTTTTCTTTTGTCCAAATTGGTGTACTTGCTTTTGAGTTTTTCTAGGGTTTTACACATAAGCCACATCATTTGAAATGGTTCCTCACTGTGTCCCTAAAGATTTTAATGTCTTCACAGACATTGTAAGCTGCATTAAATAGAAGAACAATATAATGTCCAAAACACGGGAGATGACAACTTCTTCTTACTCTGACTTAATTGGAGGGATTTTGTTTACTTACGGATTCTGCTTCTTAAGGAACCTGGGTACACTACAACCTGTCCTTAGGAGAGTGAGCAGGAAGCCCATGGGTCTAAAGACCAGGAACTGAATCTGGGGAAGGGCAGACCTGAGGGAGAACATGATAATGTTGCATACAAGAGGGGTTGGAAAGCAGTGCATACTAGTGAATAAAGCCTAGGTTCTGATACCAGGCTACCTGGGTTCATGTCTCGGCTCGACCATCTACTGCTGTATAACCTTGGGCAAGTGTCTTAATCTCTCTTGGTCTCAGATGTAAAATCTTATGAAATACCCACTTCATAAGATTATTAGGAGGATTAAATGTGAGTATGCATGTAAAATACTTAGGTCAGTGACTGGCATATAGTAAAGGCTTAATAAGTGTCAGCTTTAAAGCTAGAAGTATTTATCAAGAAGAATTAAAAACCAATTTGGGCTTGCTCTATGTGTCAGAACCAAAGGCCAATGCATGAAAATTTAAAAGAGGCAAATTTTAACTCAGTGAAAGGAAGACAGTAGTTACCTGAAATGGACTGACTGAAAAGTATTAAATTTCCTATCACTATTCAAGCTTCCACTAGATCAGAGGTATTCTTCCTTTAATCTCATGTTTTGCGGGCGCTATAATCAATTTTAAATAATGCTGATAGCATATGGTAGATTACTGGGGGTTGTCATGATTTTTTTTTTTCTTTGAAAATACTGAGAGTCCTGTCACTCTCCTAAATTAGTTGGAGAATTTTACTGATAACATGAAATGCAAATGTGGCCTCCACGCTTATAAGCAAATGTTCTCATTCTTATTCTCCAATTTTAGAGGAAAAGGAGTTCCTTGGTTCAGCCAGTCCCTTCACCTCCTTGATCCTACCCGCTTTCACCTTTTCCATCTTTCAAGACCTTGCTCTGTTCCTTTCCTCGCTTTTATTTTTAACCAGTTCTCTGCTGGCTCTTTCTTCACAACCTATAAGCATGCTTTAGTCTTTTTAAACCCTAAAAACCATAAACTCCCCTGTTATTTCTTTATTCCTCTTTAACTCTTCCTCAGTCTTTGTTTCTTTGCACAGCCAGGCTCTTAAAGGCATCTAGTCGGAGAGGAGGGGAGTAGGGAGCTGAGTGAAAAAGGTGAAGGGATTAAGCCAAAAAAACAGAAAAACAAAAATAAAAAACAAACCTCATAGACACAGACAACACCATAGACACAGACAACACCTCAGAGACACAGACAAACCTCATAGAGGGAAAGAGGGGTGGGGGGATAAATGGCGATGGAAGGAGACCTGGTTTGGGGTGGTAAACACATAACACAATATGCAGACGATGTGTTACAGAATTATATACCTGAAACCTATATAATTTTATTAAACAGTCACCCCAATAAATTCAATTAAAAATAAAAATCAATAAATAAATAATAGGCATTATCTGTATTACCGTCTACTGGCTCATCTCTAGGTACTTCATGAAGGACAAAACTTTTCATCTCTTTATCTCTTTCTTAAGAAAGTACATAGTATATGTTTGGTGAATTACTCCTTACCATGCACAGGATTCCAATTAACTATTGTCATCCCTCTTTTACAAAGGAGAAAAACGAGATTAGATTACTGTCAAGGTCACAAGGATCTCAGCACACATGCTGCAGGTATACGCATGGTGCTGTACTGAGCAGATGTACATACCATATTCCTTCCCTGCTATTTTAGTCAGGAGGCAGAAATCACACCACTTGTTTTAACTGGTAATTTAAAGAATCTTTAGCCATAAAATAGAAAACGGAAAAGGCAAAAACGGGACACATTGAGATACCAAAGAGAGTAACTGCAAAAAGTAGCCACCACCTCTATAAATGATAATACCTAGTGAAAATTTGAGGGGTGACTTTTTGGCATTTTCAATTAAAGTTCACTTTGGAGTAACACAGTTGATAGTTTATGCAGTGTTCGTTTCTTTTGAGAATAACCCCAAAAGCCAAATATGTTTGCATAGTGCTAAATGTCTAGTGTTCATCAAGCTTAAGCTTTTATCAGCTTGAAGGAACTCCTTTTCCTCTCAAATTGGAAAATAGGAATGAAAACCTTTGCTTACAGGTGTGGAAGCCACTGGAAACATGAGCTAAGGGAGATGGAGAATAAATAATAAAATAGAGGGTATAAGGAAGTCAGCAGAAATAAATGATCAGAATAACTGATGGAGAATTTTCTCCTTTCTTTCCCACCCATCTTTTGTATAGGATTTATTTTCATCCCAAATCCCTTCCTCCCAGGTTACCAGTGGCACTGGGTGAAGCAGTGCCTTAAGTTATATTCCCAGAAACCTAATGTATGTAACCTGGACAAACACATGACTAAAGAAGAGACCCAAGATCTCTGGGAACAGAGCAAAGAGTTTCTAAGGTACGTTTTATCAGTCACAATAAAATTGTTAGTGTTCACTCAAGTCATTACAGATCTTCAAAGGAACTGTTCTCTAACGATGAAGTGAAAGGAACTGATGTGTTTTTCCCTCATTTCAACTCAAATGCAATGCAATTATATTCCTTCCCCCTGAAACATTTGGACAGATGCTTTGACAGTTACAGTAAAGTAAATTAAGATCCATTTCAGAGATTTCCATATCATAGCTTAGATATCAAGTACATTCTCATTAATCATCAAATGACCCATTTTCAGTTAGCTTCAGCCCTTTTTTCTAATTAAAGTGAGTTCCTTTGAAAACTTAGGGTATCCTGGCAAAAAGTAACTAAAGCTCTTTACTTCTACTGTCCTGGATGAAGTCAGTGCCATTAGTTGTTTTATGGTGGGTCAGTTCTTCATGAGAACTAACGTTTGTACCTTACTGTTGTTTCAACATTGATTCATTCCACAAATATTTATTGTGGATCAGTTGTATATGAGGCATGTATATTGGTGATACAAAGTAGGCTCCTGTCCCTACTCAGGAGTTCATAGTCTGTGGCAGTGATTCGGTATTAACAGGAATAATTATAATAGAGCTCAGCAAGAAAAGTGCTGTGGAGGCCAGAGGAAGAAACGGTTCTTTTAGGCAGGAAGGAGGTGTCAAAGAAGAAAAAATTATTTTTCGTTGAATTTGTTGTCTTTTTTTCCTTCTGTCCATTTGAACTGGTTCTTCAAAAAAGATTAGGAGTTTGGCCAGTCAGAAAAGCAAAAATGCTGTTTTGGGTAGAGAAAGCAGCCTGAGCAAAGAGGTAATATTTAAAACAGAGAAAGTTCTGTGAGATTGGAGCACAGGACGTGTGCATTCGTGTATTTATTCAACAATTAGTGCGTTTCTGCTACGTGTCAGATTTGTGTGTGTGTGTGTGTGTGTGCGTGCGCGCGCGCACACACGTGTAAGAGATTCAGAGACAGATGAGACACAGCCCCTGCCTTCCAGAAATTTGCAGTCAAGGACAGAGACATAACCATGTAGGTAAATTAAATTTGGTAGGTACAGGGATAGAATTTATAAGGTCTGTGGGAATGGTCATTTAGGTAGCTAGATTGGAAGTACATTGTGGAAAATGCTTCCTGGAAGTCACGGATAGAATTGGTAAGATGTAAAGCAGGAAAGGTAGGTTAGGGCCAGACTGTTAAGGGTTAAGTGCTGTGTGTAGAGCACTAGTTCTAGAGTTAGATTGTCTGGGTTCCAATCCCAGCTCTGCCACTTAAAAGCTGTGTAAACATGAGCAAGTTTCTTAACCTTTCCATGCCTCATAGTAGTCCTTTCCTCATTTGATAGTGTGTGGATTAAATAAGAGAGTAAAGGAGAAATCCTTAGAATAGCCTCTTAAAAACCATTATACCAGCATTGTATGTTCTATTTGGACTTAGTTGCTTTAATGGTGCGATTTGAGTGAAATTAGAGAGCTTAAAGTTTGTTATTAAACCAGACTGTATTTTCAAGTATTTTTTTTTTCCTTCTGACAAACGTCTCAGCAGAAATCTTCAGTGTCACCTAAGATGGGTCAGACGAATCTCTATCAAAAATTAAAGATGTGATAGTCATACGTTGTGTTGTCAAGGGTTGAAAGAAATTGATATGCCCAGGCATTGCTGGCAGCATTGAAAATTGATTAGGGCCCACGTTCTCCTTCTGTCACTACCTGATACGTGTGTGTTTTCTCATCTGGGAAGCAAAGGGATTGGACTGGATAAACCATCCAAGGTGGTTAAATTATGTTCAGGGCACACGCCAGCTTTCCCTGCGTTGCCAGTGCGCACCAGGGAGAGAAGGTCTGCTGTTCAGACAGCTCCCCTGCGGATTGTAATTATCTACCCTATCACCCACATGGAGAACCATGGGAGTGGAGGGTCCTTTTTAGTTTCAACTTTCTATGTTTCTGTGGTCGGGGAAGAAGAAATTTCAAATAGAAAATAAATAAATACTTAAACTTAGAAGCATAAATGGGTCTTTTCACAAAATTAGGGCACCTCAGTTCTATGTTTTGTTCAAAGTTTATTGTCAGTGAATAGTATGGCTAGAGATTCTTGCACAAGAGTATGACAGGTGTAAACATCTTCATTGTAGCATTGTCTGAAATGGGGGGGGGGGGGATGAGAAGCAACCTAAGTGTCAGCAGGAGGTCAGAGAAATCAGGCATGACAAAACCTAGCAGGAGAACACAGCCACTGTGCAGCCATTTAAAAAATCTTAAATCCAACCCTATAGCAAATATAATAGGGCCTACAGTTGTTACGAATAAAATCATTTCTCAGCATCTTCGTCACAACCCCCTTAATCTGAGCCATCATCATTTACCCCAGGAGCCTAACCAGTTTCCCTCTGTCTGTTCTGCCTCTTCAGTCTGTTTGCAGGGTATAGAAACCATGTCACCTTCTATAGCTTCTCATCAGCAGCACCACAGTTCAGTTCTGATGCGAACCATCCAGCGTCAGCATGGACATCACAAGTTAAGGGCATGGTCCCCAGCCAAACTGCCCTCACTTCAGACACCGTCCATAAGTTTGGGAGATCCCCAGGTTACCCATACTTCTCACTAACCGGTACAAATTCAGGGAAGTTCCCATGACTCCCTTAGGTTCAGTAACTGTCTTGGACCACTCACAAATCAAGAAAGCATTATACTTAACGGTTACTGAAGGGTCCTGTATGCACAACTTCCACAGCCTCTTGCCCTGGAATCATGATGGGTCGCCCTCCCAGGCTTTAGTGTTCAGAGTTTTTATTGGGGTTTTACTACTTAAGCATGATTGATTAAATCATTAGTTACATAATTGAGCTCAATTTCTGGTCCCCCACCTATACCCTGAGGCCTGACTAATTAATATCACTCTACTCAGAAGACTCAGTCCTCTAATCAGATGCTTGGTCTTTCTAGCTTGACAAGCCTGCAGGTGTGGGCCTGGGACCCACGGTGAATAACACTCCTGTCTTCTGAGAGTTTAAAGCTTTCTCCCAAGAACCAGGGTCAAAGACCAAATTCTGTGTTACATAACAGAGTAAAATCAGAAGTTTTTACCAAGGTCTGCAAGGCCTGGATGATCGGACCCTCAGCCACCTCTCCAGCCTCATCTCCTACTTTTCGTTTTTACTGATTCTTCAGCCATACTGGCCTCCGTGGTGTTCGTTAAACACAAAGGCATGCTCAGATCCTTTTATTAAAGGTTATTTATTATTTATTTTGAGAGAAATGGAGAGAAACATCAATTGATTGCCTCTCACATGCCCCATCCAGGGACCTGACCTGCAACCCAGGCATGTACCCTGACCAGGAATCAAACTGGTGACCTTTCAGTCTGTGAAGCAGCACCCTACCCACTGAGCCACACCAGTCGGGACCATGCTCAGACTCTCTGTACAAGCTGTCCCTTCTACCTCGAAAGCTGCTTCTTTAGTTAACCAATGACTTGCTTCCTTTATAGCTCTTTGTTCTAATATCATCTTGTGAGAGATGATTCCCTTACCATTCAATTAACAATAATCCTCTTTTCCCTCCCTCTTCATCTCCTTGCCCTGTGTTTTTATTTGTCAGTGCAAAAGGTACTTATCAAATGTTTGTGGAATTAATTAGTTTATGGATACTTTCATGTACCTTTTGAATTTTTCAAATGTATCACTAAACCAAAATTAACTTTTAAGGATAAAACCAGAGAAAATACAAATTTAAATAAAGCAGCTCTGTTCCATAAGCTTATGAAATGCCTTGTATTCATTTTTTGTATATGTAAAGACTTTTTTTTAATTGATATTCTCAGTGTGGACGTAGAAATAATCTTTTCCCCTTTCTTGTCTTTTAAGACTTTGTTATGGTGCTATTCATACATTTATTATAATGAATCTAGTCATCTGGAAAACAGAAAAGAAAGCCACTGGCCCTAGGAAGCATCAGCTCTAGGTAAAAAAATCAAAATAAAGAATCAAACAGCTAAAAACAAGTGCTATTAGAAGGCAAGACAGGAAAATGTTTCTACAAGGCCTGGATGATCTGGCCCCATGGACAAGAGCCAACCATGTCCATAGGCCTCAGATTTGAGGATCATCACTTAAGTGAAACTGAGAAACTAGTTTTGGTAGAAAGGTGTTAACAAAAGTCAGATTGCAGGGAGGGTGGCAAATATTGAGTCCTTTTATAAAGGTTGATTTTAAAGGGAAGGAGTGGTAGACACAGGGCAGAGGGAAGCAGGACATAGACAGGAGACTTGAGTGAGAGGTCCAGTTGGGAAGCTGGCCATAGTAGAAAGAAGTGGGACCACTGATGAAACAAGGAGGGAAGGATGGGGCAAAGATTTTGAAAAGTTTAGTGTAGGGGAGGAAAATTGAACATGCTCACTGGATCATTTCATCAAGACTCTACTCTCCATTGTCCTAGAAGGGAATTAGAGCAGAACTGAGAACTTGATGGGAATGATGGTTCAGAACAAAAGGTAGAAGATTAGGTAAAACTAAATATTTTCAAAATAGCAAAAGGATGTTAGCATGTAAGGTAGAATTTGATGTCCATTTACAGTGATTGATGGAGATTCAGGATTTTCTCAGGTTGAGAAAGGAGATAAAACTGGAAGCACTCAAATACTGGGGGGAAAAATGGAAATAGAACTTTAAGACAGAAAGTTGTGGTTATGCAGAGAAATATTCAGAATTGTGAAAGACGCAATTCCGAAGCCGTTAAAAATGATTGAAAAACACAAATAACCTACAATAGCATTTTGGAGGGTTTTTGGTTTTTTTTTAATCAAAAACAACTTTTTCTGTCCTGAGTACTTTTGCTTTCACAGTAATTCACTAATGTCTCCTGACACCAGAAAGAGAAAACTAATGCTTAATTACGACACCCAGAGTACCCACTGCACAGAGTTCATTTCCATGCAGTTAGGGTTTGGTTGAAAGCGGCGCTATAGAACATGATTGCTGAGAGAAATGCCAGCACTTACATGACAGAAAGTGAGCGAAGTGCTCTGTGGGCGCACCCACCAGGGGAGAAGGTGACCAGCCTGCCCACCCATCAGCCCCTTGCCAGTGCCCTGAGGAGCAGCCAGGACAGGGAACATAGCGTGTTTCTGTTTGCAGCGAGAACTAATAATTGGGGTCACTCTTGCTTGAAGACTTTTTTTGTGTTTGTTTTTTTTTGTTTTGTTTTTTGTTTTTTGTTTTTTTTAATATAGCTGGATAAAGATTTAAAGTTAGGTTAGGCGCTCCCAACATGTTCCCTGCATTCCTACAGGTGGCTGTTTCAGCTCTGTTGGCACTGAGCCTTGGTCTCTTTTTGGGCAGGTCAGGTTTAAAAGGAGAACAGCCCACCCACGTCTTTCATTAATCCCTCAGTGTTTTCTGCTTGGAAATGATCTGAAAGTTTGTTAAATTTGGTTTTGGCCTTACAGTATTCACAATGTTCAGGGGTGATTTTTTTGGACTCTGTGTTACCCAAGAGGCCCATGGGAGCCCGAAGGGTCCCTAAGGTAGTCTTCAGACAAGAAATACGTGGTGTTGGCCAGTTCTGCTCTCAATCTGAAAGGCAGGTGTTAAAACAATTATTGCTACTTTCCTTCCAGAAATTTCTGTACAAAGGCAAGAAGTGAAATCAAGTTCTTAGAAAAGGATATGGAATGAGGGGTGGAATCTTACACCTATGTGGGTCTAACACATTACACAAAAATACATATTAAATTTTCCTTAAAATGGCACAGACATTCAGTGATCACAGCTTTCACTAATCAAGTCCTTAAGCTTAGTTTTTCCTTTTTGTTATAAGAACTGGGTTTAATGCTTTTGAAAGTAAGGCTCTGGCTTCTTTTATATCCTTGGACAAATTCCCCTTTATAAGGCAAAGCCCAAGCATTCCTTAAAGTGATAGCTTGTTCCTAAAAAAGGAACTATATTTTAGAAAAAGGCATATTATAGGGTGGATTGATTCATGCTTGACTTTTACTACAATTTTGATAATTTTGTTGACAATACCATAAACCTGTGTTAATTATAATTATGTTTACCCTCTTCTTGAAAAGCATTAGAATGAATCTTTTCATTGAAAGGCAGCTTGCTGGTGCCATATCAAATGTCTGAAATACCATTACCTTCTGGATTATTTCCAGAGCTTCATTGTTATCTCTATTTGTTCAGATTGGTTTGATTTTTATGTAATTGTATGGGTTCTAGAAAGAGATGGACATGTTTTGTTTAGTTCTGTTTTTTAAATTTTGTCTAGAATAGTGTTTCTCTAAGTGTGGACCCAGACCTGTAGCATTATCATCACCTGAGAACTTAGTAATGCGCATTCTTAGGCACCACCCTACACCTACTGGATCAGAATTTGTAGGTGCAGGCCCAGCATGTGAATTTTAACAAGCCCTCCAGGTGATTCTGAAGAACATTAAAGTTTGGAAAACACTTGGCAGAAACTTAAGTGGAATACACACAGGTTCTGTAAAAGCACTGTGTACAACTCTTCCCTTTGCTCTCTAGATACTCATACACTACTGACTTCAGCACCTTTCTTTTCTCCCTCATTGAAAACACATAGCTTGAATATCCATGAAATAATTGTTCTTTTCTTCAGCAGCATTTTCTTCTGTGTTTGAAATTTTTTTCACTGTTTTCTTTTTTCTTTTAATTTTATTTTTTTAATTATAGTTTACATTCAGTATTACGCTGTATTAGTTTTAGGCATATGAGGTTATTTTTAAATAAGGAATTAGGTACTAAATATCTTGGAAAGAGGAATTAATAGAATAGATCACCTCTATAGGGTACTTATGTAACTCTGGAATTACATATATATCACTGTTAACTACAAGATACACATGAGTCTAGAAATAAGAAGTAATACTTATTTTTCTGTCTCAATGCTACTAAAATAGAATACTTTTTTTTTATGAGGGCAATATCAGGGAGTCCTTTTGTACCTTTAACTGAAGAAACAGTGGTAGAACTCAGGTTGTGTTACTCTGTTGCCTTTTTTTTTTTTTTTTTAGTTTTTACACACAAAATTTAAATAATGGATGGTGGTTAATCATAACTGTTACATCAGCTAATTGTAGTCACTGGCCTAGCCTACATATCATTTTCCCTAAATCGTTAATTTTGTCTATCCTGTTAAGCCAGAGGTCCCCAAGTTCAGTGATTCACCAACAGGATTCACGGGGCTTAGCATATAGTTGTACTTAAGGAAAAAGATATATTATGGTGAAAGAATACAAAGCAAAATTAGCAACGAGAAAATGACATGGAGCAAAGTCCAGGTAGACCAGGCTTGAGCTTCCAGGGGGCTCTCCCAGTGAAGTCACACAGGATGCACTTCACTCCCACCAGAGGGTTGTGATATGTGAAATGGTGTCTACTAGGGAAGCGCAGTGCCCAGGTTCTTACTAGCACTGGTCTCGTAGACAGTCTCTGCCTCACGTACCAAAATTCAGACCCCCAGAAGGAAAGCAGGTGTTCAACATTAACTGTATTGTTAGTACCAACGATCTAGGCACAGGGACCTACAGATTTGGGAATTGTGTGAACCTCCAGAATCCAAGTTCCAGCAGCCTGCCAAGGGCCAACCTTGTAAGCAGGCCTTTCAAAGGATAACAGTCAGATCTGCTATGCCTCTTTTTTGCGTGGCCGTCCTAAATAAATTAGTGTCCATTTTATTTCTTTTAGCTTCCAGTCTTGATGTATGTCTGTATCACATTGTCCTTAGAATGTTAACTCATGAGGACAGATAGCATCTGTTCTGTAAACTCTTTGTCAAGCATCAAGATGAGTGCCACGTAGAGTCTGAACCTCTAATAAATCCTTTGCTGCTGCTGCCCGTGCTGTATGTCTCTTGCGTGCCGCATCACTCCGTTTAAAGGCGGCACATCCTTCAATGCCATGCTTGACTTCCAGCTCTGCCATGAAGCCTCAGCTGATTAGACAACTGACTTTGAGCTCCTTTTTCTTAATTCTAGTGACCCGCAAGGTCTTGTTCTGTTCATGTTAGTAGCAGATTTTATACTGCCTTGAATTTTCCCATCATTCTTCTTAGGCTTCCCTGTCATCTCCTGTCAGAATACAGACCCTTAAAATAGCCTAATTTTTTCTAAACAGCAGTGGTTCTTGAATAAAACAAATTTTTTATTGATAAGTTATGTAAATTACATAGAAAAAATAAACTAAATAATATGATTAGGCCAAGCATTCTTGTATTTTTAGATATTTAGAAGTAAATCAAACCAACAAGCTTCCTCTTTAGAAAAAGTCAATCCCATAGATTTAATCAGATAAGCTATTAATTGCAGAAAGGGCAAATCTGTTTTACAGAAACTTCCTGTGGTTTGGACAAGTGATGTCAGAAACCAAATTACAGTGGTCCTTAATAGTTAGCTAAGCCTCAATTATCTAAGCTACCTAAGAAATCATGTTAACCCAGTTATGGATTGTATACTGTGTTTTGCCAAACTTGCCCTAACCTGCAATTCTGGGAAGCTATCATCATTATAGACATAGTGATAGCTGTGATTAATCATACGCCACTTTGAGCAAACCAAATTAAAACATGTTGTCATAGCCAAATTTCAATTACCCATAGTGCTCTTGGTCCCATTTCCCATGGACAGATAAAGACATTTCTGTTGCCATTCTTGTTTATCGAGATGCCGGGCACTTGTCATTTAAAACCGATTCCACTGAGCAGAGGATTTAGAACCAAGGACAAGAAAGTAAAAATACTACCATGTTTTTTAGTATTATTATATTCTTGGTCAACTTATCTATTCTGATTTCCACTATGGAGATCTTGGCTAACAGCATATACCATTCCACTATGGAATACCAAATTTAAACTTCATGGTCTAGATGAACGACTGTTGCTGCCATTTAAGATAAATAAAATCCTCCTTTGTCTCTAATTTTTGCAGATATAAAGAAGTGGATAAACGGAGACCACGAAGCTTACTAGAGAAACTGCGATGGGTGACCCTAGGCTACCATTATAACTGGGACAGTAAGGTATTTGAATTTTCTTGCTAATTCCATTATTTTCAATTGTTGTGCTTCTTAGGCCTACACAGTGGGATTTCTTCCTGCTCAAGCTTAAAGTATCATATCCATTTGCAGAAGGGTCTCTTTTATTTATTCCCTCCTACTATATCCCAAGAAGCATGGATTATTTATCAAGAGAAAATTTCTTTTTCACATACCCTCAGGTTATGTTATTTTTACCAGAAGTCATCAGTACTTTTTCTAAGTAGGTGTCAGGAGTATCGATTTTCTATACTACCTTTAGGAGCAGTTGTCAGTTATGATCTTTATTTCCATTCTTGGTTAGTGTTTGTTGAGCATTTATTTCCTACACAATATCTGCCTGGAGTAAAAGAAGATCCTTATACTTGGGGTGTTCTCATCAATTCACAGAAGGACTTTCAGGATCTAGATACTTCAGCCTGCTGTGTAAGGTCAGAGCAGGAGAAAAATGGGAAAGAATGTCCTAAAGATAACAAAGTTCCATGGGCATTTTGTTTTGTTTTGTTTTTTGAGGTACAGTTTCTTTCCTGACCTCATGCTTCAGAGAATGCCTCCTTTATCACTGATAGTGCAGGACCACTTGACTCAATCAGATATCTGCCACCAAGTAAAAGGACTGATTCTGAGAGTAAAATGAATAAAACAGTGGAATAGACCATCTTGCTTCTACCTAGTTACTGTCTAAAAGCTCTATAGTTTCAGTCAACCCAGCTTATTAACATGTATATTAACTGATCAAAATAATGATGAGTTACCTAAAAATATTCATAATTCTTATTTTCAGTGATACTGATTTAATGAAAAACTAGATATCTGTATTTGGGAAAATGGCCATGTGAGTATCTTCAGATTAGACAACCTTGCCTTCAACAGGGATAATACCTATCTCATAAGGTAGTTGTCACAATTAAAGGATTAATGCCTATGGAGTGATTACAACAGTGCCTGGCTGTTCTAAGCCGTTAAATACGTTAACGCAAATGTTAGTTAGCTCATTGTTTTTTATGATGTTATTTTTATTGTTGATATTGTTATTCTCCAAAGACCTCAAAGTGAGCCTCATTTACTAGGAAAAATGTGAAGTGAAAATTATCAAAAACTGAGTAATCAGAGAAAAGTGAAAGAGAATTAAAGAAGAATAGTGCATAGACAGCTTGGAAAGTGTTCAAAGCCCAAAAAAGTAATTGCTTCATTATAGCAGGGGTGATACAGTGTTAGAATAGCAGCTCTGAGTGGTTTGATCTTCTGCAAGGAATAAAACTTAGAATGGCAGAGAAAACCTGAAAGTTCTCTTAACTACACTCTTAGCTTTGAGAAGTCAAATAGGAACTCTTTTTATACACAGTTCAGGAAAAGGAGAAGAAAAATGAAACAGGGAGATTCCAGCTGAAGAGGGTTGGCCATCCATCAGACTTCTCACAAAAATCTTCTTGAACCTGAAATTAAAGTTCACTTCTTGCCAAAGTCATTCTCTCCGGAGCCATGACTCTGTTGCTCCAGCTAGAATGTACCAGGACACTAGTAGAGGTGTGAGACAAAAGTGGATTTTCTAATCAGATTTGTGCTTGATTGAGCAAAAGGAGACGTGAGAGGAGAGCGCCAAGGCGAAGGAAGAGTGTCAGGCGGCTGCAGGCCCAGAGGCAAAACACCCCTCCAGCTCACCTGCACAGGGGATTGCCGTGTCGTTCTCGTGAAGTGTAGAGATTTTGTAGAGAAAGTGAGTGTTCTGGCTTTTGATTTTTTTCTTTAATGTTTATTTGTTGATTTTAGAGAAAGTGGAAGGGAAAGAGAAACGTATGTGCCCTGACCAGGTATCAAACCTGCAGCTGTGGTGCATCAGTTATGCTCACTGAGCTACCTGTCCAGAGTTGTGGGGAGGGGAGGTGGTTTTTGGTTTGAGGTTTGTTTTTTTAGAGAAAAGGGGTGCTGGTGATCCTTAGATGGTAAAAAGAAAGGAAGTTCAGAGAAGTAAGTGCTAAAGATTACTTCCATGCTCAGGTTCCGCCTTGAGCCGTGGTGCAAAGTCAGTTTCAGTTCAGCTCACATGTTTTGAGCATGTCGTCCCATCAGATTGACCAATGAAATCAGCACTACACCAGGTTGTAGTCTGAGGGGCCTAAAACCAAACTGGCAATAGTATTTGAGTTGCTTTTTTAAAAAAAATAATAAACTTTGTACTTTAGAATAGTTTTAGATTTATAGAAAAGTTGAAATGTAGTATAGAGAATTCCTATATATCCTGTGCCCAGTTCTCCCTGTTATTAACATCTGTCTCTATTATTAACATGGTACCTTTGTTTCAATTAGTGAACCAGTAGTAATACATTATTATAATAGTAGAGTCCATTCTTCATTCAAATTTTCTTAGTTTTTAACTGTCCTTTAATGTGTTCCAGGATACCACATTAAATGTAGTTACGTTTTTTTAAGGCACTTCTTGGCAGTAACCTTTTTTTAAGAAGTTGGGTCATCTTTTTTTCTCCCTTAATCCTCACCTGAGGATATGTTTATTGATTTTAGAGAGAGAGAGAGAGAGACATTGATGTGAGAAACATCAGTCAGTTGCCTCCCACACACCCCGCAGCTGGCAATCAAACCTGTAACCTAGGTATGTGCCCTGACTGGGAACCGAACCCACAACCTTTTGGTGTTCAGGACAATGCTCCAACCAACTGAGCCACTCAGCTAGGGCTGCAGTAACAGTGTTGAGTTACCATTTTACCCTAAAGGAACTATACTGTTTGGGATTAAAGTATACTAGAGAGAGGTTGTAGTAATTGCTTAATGTGTAGACTCCCTGCAGGGTGAATTTGTGTAATTCGTCACTGCATAGCAGTGTCTGCCATATAATAGGTGCTCAGTATTTTGAATGGCTCATTATTATATTCTGGGATGCCTCAAAAAATGGATGGATAAATCATGCTATGGTAATATTATATGTAAGCTAGATGATTTTTACGTGGTAATTAACCTTATTTCAGTTTGCTATTTTCCTGAGATCATTGTTTATTTTTCTTATTTTCCCTACTTTTATTAAAGAAATACTCAGCAGATCATTATACACCTTTCCCTTCTGACCTGGCTTTCCTCTCAGAGCAAGTAGCTGCTGCCTGTGGATTTCAGGGTTTCCGAGCCGAAGCAGGTATCCTGAATTACTACCGATTAGATTCTACGCTGGGCATTCACGTAGATAAGTCTGAACTTGATCACTCCAAACCCCTGCTGTCATTCAGGTGAGTAAATTCTAGGGATTTGGGATTACTTTTTATGACCTTATTCCATTCCTAAAGCATTTTTAAACTAAAATAAAAACATTAAACTTTTTTAAAAAAAGGACTGGCGCTATCATCTTTCACTTCTGGGCATATTAACAATGTATCATAAGTAAAATTAGCATAGTTCTTTAAGAGTAATAACCAAATTACAGTTAATATTTTTGTTTAAGATGCATGGAGTCTGCCTTTTGTAATGAGAGGTATTGTCATTGTCTGTGGAATAGGCAAGTGGAAAGCCATACAGTAAAGTAGGCATCTTTCTTGGAATAGAGAAGAACAAAGCACACAAGCCTGAATAGTTCACTCTTCTTGTCTCCCTAAACATAAGTTTAAATTTGTGCCAAGTACTGCACCTCTATCTGACAAAGTACCTGACAGAATCTTATTATTACCTTATCTTTAAAATGAACAAGAATGATGAATACAGGAAAGGGCTTAAATGTGGTAGACCCCTCCTACCCCACAGGGGATACCTGAAACCACAGATGATACCAAATCCTAGATATACTGTGTTTTTTTCCTTACATATATAACCTATGATAAAGCTGAATTTATAAATTAGGCACAGTAAGAGATTAACAATAATAACTAATAAAACAGAACAATTATAACAATATATTGTAATAAAAGTTATATGAGTGTGGTCACTAGTTCCCGGGGAGCTCTTGCTGAAGTCTTTGTATAGGTTCAGTGCTTCTGGGCACAACATGCTACTGTCAGAACACATTTTCTGTTCATGTCTTCCACCCACAAATTCGATGCCTTTTCCATCTTAACTACGCATTTACTGTGCACTGTGGCTATAACTTTTGTAGTTTGAGGTGCAACAACAAAACTAGCACAAATGCCTTTTTCCTTCACAAGTTCATGGGTAGAAGATTTGTTCTGACTGTGTGTCTTAGCAGCCTTAGTACACATTCTTTATTCTTTCCTTATTAAGTCAAGAACTTTATCTTTTCACTTTATGCCTTCTATTTCGCACATCTCAGTTGCCTGCAGAACTACTTTTACTCTTTGGGGCCATTATAAAGTATAATAAAGATTCCTTGAACAAACACCTCAATACCATGGCGGTCGATCTGATAACTGAGAGTTACCACCACATGACTGGCGAGCAGGGAGCACATACAGCATGGATTCGCTGAACAAAGGGATAAAAAATGTTCAGGCTGGATGGCGCACGATGCTCATCACACTACTCAGAACAGCGTGCAATTTAAAGCTTATGAATTGTTTATTGAATAGATTATTGCTGGAATTGTTTATTTTTATTTAATAATTTTGGACCACAGTTGACCATGTATAACAAACTGCAGAAAGCAAAACAGGATAAAGGGGAACTACTGTAATTTTATTGGAAGACTTAAGTCTTAAAGATGCATCAATAAAACTTGTATGGCAACGATAAAACAATTCTTACTTTGCTTATTTAACTGCTTCACATTTTATGTTCCCACAGTCCTGTGGGCTATGACAAGTTCAAATAGCAGGTCATGGGTTGGTCACTCACAGACACGAGCCAAAAAGAAGGAGCGTAGCACCGTTTTTGAAAAGGAAGATTTAGGAGCAATAAGGATTGAGCTGAAATTGGAAAATAATGCAGTTAGCAGTAAAATTATCAACCATACTTAGTTAACAGAAACTTACTGTTGTTTTACTTATTTTTTTGTAGCTTCGGACAGTCGGCCATCTTTCTCTTGGGTGGCCTCAAAAGAGATGAAGCCCCCACAGCCATGTTTATGCACAGTGGTGACATCATGGTAATGTCAGGTTTCAGTCGCCTGTTGAACCATGCAGTTCCAAAGGTCCTTCCAAGTTCCAAGGGAGAAAGCCTGCCTTGCTGCCTGGAAACACCTCCCCCAGCCGTGGTCCCAAGAGAATCGGTGGTGGAGTGCTGTTCCGTGGAGGACTGGCAGGTGTGTGCCAGCTACTTGAAAACTGCTCGTGTTAACATGACTGTCCGGCAGGTGCTGGCCACGGACCAGGACTTCCCCTTGGAATCCACGGAGGAGAGTAAAAGAGACATCACCACTGAAGGTTTCTGCCACCTGGATGACGAGAAGAGCCGAGTGAAACGAGCTAGGTTAAACCCTGACAGCTGAGGCTTGGAGAGCCCGTTCCTTTCACTTAGGCAGGCCTTACAGTAAATGACCATGCTGTTTCATATTGCTGTTGACTTGAGCACCAAGAGAAGCCACAAACAGAGACAGGGAAAGACTCATCATTGATCACACTGTTGCCTTGGAACCCATTCGGAAAAGTAAACTGGAAAAGAGTAAACTGACTTATCACATACATTAATGCCTGACCAGGGCTGGACCAGACAAGTGTTTGACATGGTCCAGTCCTGCTTAGGTAGTATTGCACGTGAGAAATCCAAGGACATGTAACGTTCTGCAACAGCCTTCTCAGCCTCTGCCATTACCTCTGTGGGAAGTAGAGTGAGTTTCCATGTCTATACCTCAGATTTTATTAATGGGAAACATGATAGCCCTCCCACCACCCTGTCTAGTGACTTCGTGATAAAATTGCAGTTCCATGAACCAACCATTAGTCTCACTTATTCATTCTTCCAATTAACATCAAATCTTTTGATCTTCCATCCTTCCTGGCCTTCCCAGAAGAATCCTATAACCATTATGACAACAGAAATAGAAATCTCACCCCTAGAAAAGAACTTAATCACAGCCATGTCTCTTTCCTAAAAGGTAAATATTTATAAGCCCAAGAAGAGGGAGTAGCTTCTCCAGATACCTTTTAGGTCCCCAAACTATTGGCTTTTTAATGCAGTTTTAACTGTTGGACTAAAAATGTCCCAGGAATGTTCTGTAACTGTTTTCTCCATGAATAAACTTACTTGACTTTAAATTAAAGATCTGTATCTGTCTTTGAGGGTTAATGTATCTGGGAGTGGTTTTTTTCCTATTCCTGCTTACTGTAGTATTCTTGCTTTTTATCCTCTAGCCAGTGCTACCCTGCACCATGCTGCTCTGCCCTAAGTATTCTTTGTGGCTGTCTCAGAGGAGAGAACATTCTTTGATACCCCAGTCACTGCTGTCTTTTTTTATTGTAGACAGCTCAGGAAATACATGAAACATCAAGTTATAATCTTTGTACCCCCACCAACTGAACACACTATACCCTGAGTTAGGTTTCTGTACATTTCTCTGGACCTCAGTTTTCTCATTCATAAAGTGAAGATAATATTTACTTCCACCTTACTAGAAAGAAATTGATATTTCAAATGATAATGGGAATTTAGTGCTTCTTTCTAGAACTATCATGTGCCAATATTTTATTTCTGTTTGGATACTTAGAAACATCCCAGCTTATATGGATGGCTGGCTGGAAGCCACTGTGATAACTGCTGTTTGCAATGTGATTTGCTGACTTTTCCTTTTTCCTCTGTCCTGCCGCCTTTTTCTTACGAGCATTGAATATTAAGTTCATATTGTAATCTGTGATAGATTTTTTATTTAGTGATTGATTGATTTCAGAGAGAGAGAAACATCAGTCTGTTGTTCTGCTTATGCATTCACTGGCTGATTCCCACATGTGCCCTAACTGGGGATCAGACCCACAACCTTGGCCTGTCGGGACAATGCTCTAACCATCTTAGCTACCCAGCCAGAGCCGGGGTTTTGGGGGGTGGGAGGGTTTGGTTTAAGAAATAAAAAATTGAAAGAGTAATCCTTATGTGTAACTAGTTTCTAAAATTAGTATATTATAGCCCTGGCCAGTGTGGCTTAGTTCATTGGAGCATCATTCCGTAACTGAAAGGTTGTGGTATCAGTTCCCACTCAGGGCACATATCTAGGTTGCAGGTTCAATACCCTGTCTGGGTGTCTATGGGAGGTAGCCAGTTGATATTTCTCTCTCACATTGATGTTTCTCTCTAAAACAATGAAAAAATGTATTTGGGTGAGGATAAAATATAAATAAAAATGAAATTAGTACATAATAGGAAATTTTTATATAATTAAAATTACCACTGGAAAAATCGCTTTAATTTTCCATACTGCAGATTATATGGGATCCACTGGAAACCACCATACTCTTTAGTAAAACCAACAGTCAGCTTATCGTTCACCATTCTAGTAGATTATTCTTTATTCAGTTGAATATCATATAAAAGAGTTGATTTGTGTTTAGGGGCAAAGTACCAAAAATTGCATATTCATACTCTAAGCTCACACTCCATGAAACGAGATAATGTATGTCATGAGAAGCATGTGGAAACTGTTGCCAGCCAAGACTAGCAGATTCCTCTCCCAGCCCAGGCTCCCTTTGTTTTAGTTCTCTACCAAACATTTGCTAAGTCAGGGGTCAGCAAACTATGACACCCCCCTCCTGTTTTTGTACTGCCCACAGACTAGGAATAGTTTCCACATTTTAAGTGGTTGGCGGGGGCGGGGGGGGTTCTAAACAATAATGATATTTTGTGACACATTATATGAAATTCAAATTTGTGTCCATAAAGTTTTATTGGAACACAACCACACTGACTCATTTACAGATTATCCGTGGTTGCTTTCATGCCAGAATGACAGTCAAGTCATTGCAGCAGAGACCAGGTATAGTGTACAAAGCCTCAAAGATAACAGTCTGGCCTCTTACAGAAAGCATTTACCAACTTAGAAAGGAAGCTAGACCCCCCTAAAAAGGAACCTGACACCAGGCTAAGGGACTACGGTAATACATATTCTTTTTTTATTATTCTGGCAATGCCAGAGTATATTATGATCTAGTTTATATGTGGTATCAAGAGGAGAGTCACAAATGTTGGGACTGGGGAAGTTGGTCTTCTGATACTCTGCAGTGGGAATGTACCCATATTTTGCCATGTGTAAGGCACACGTTTTTGCCAAAATTTTTGAGGAAAAAACAAGGATGAGTGTTATACATGGGTAGTACTAATTCCGTATCTATATAAATGTTTTTAGTTCTTCTATTTGTGCTTATGCATCAAAGTCTAGAAAGTAATAATATCAGTATGCAAAATAATACCCTGGAATACAATAATTGGTTTTGTTTCTAAATATAAATAAATAATTGAATTTAAAAATTAAAACGAAAGGGGGTTTTTTCCCCTGAAAGTTTGGGCCAAAAATGTGGGTGCACATTATACACAGGAGTTCATAGCAAAATACTGTAAAGTGTTATAACCTCTAAGGCACAGTTTGCAAGTATGTTAACATGTAATTTCTACATCCCAATTTGACCAGGGCAACCCTGAACTATGTCCCCTTTTCCTCTCAGAAGTGATCTGGTTTGATGATAAATTATATGGTCATCCTAATTATGGTTTTTTTTAAAGGTTTTTAAAGAGAGGAGAAAGGAGGGAGAAAAGGAGAGGAAAAAAATCAATGTGTGAGAAAAACATCAAAACATCAGTTGTCTATCTCACGCCCCAAGCTGGGGACCTGGTGTGCAGCTCAGGTAGGTGCCCTGACTGGGAACCAAACCGGCTACCTTTTGGTTCACGGGCCAGCGCTCCACACATTGAGCCACACCAGCCAGGGCTTCATCCTAGTTATGTTTTAAAATGTGTACCATTTGGCCCAATAAATTTTACTTCTAGGAGTTTGAGTCTAAGGAAGTAATTAGATCTGTCCACAAAATTTTTGTGTAAGTTTGTTATAATAGTAAAAGTTTGAAATAAGCTCAATATCCAGCAACAAGGGGTTGGTTGATTAAATTCAGGTATACATTGAATAACTTGTTATTGACCACTGTTCTTTGTAGGAGGCTCTGTTCTTTGCACAAAGTGCCTTTGTGGCAGTTAGAGCCTAGTGGGTATGACATGAGCATGCAGAGCGAAACTAGCCATTAAAAGGCATGTTTTTGAAGAACAGGTAGAAATATGACACAGTGCACAATATTGAATGAGAAAACCCAATTATGAAACTATGCCTACTGATCTAATTTTGTATAGAAGAGTTACATATTTTAAAAAAAAAAAAAACCTGGAAGGATATCTATACCAAAATGTGAATGGTAGTAAGATTATAGCTGATGCTTGTTTGTGTATTTTTATATTTCCGATTTTTTTTTTACATTGAAAATCTTTTTAAATTTTTTTTAAACAATAAATGTCTGTTTTTTTGTTTGAGAAATACTGTGATCTGGAATTCTGCCTGTACCTGAAATTTGTTAGAATGCAAATCCAGGCACATAAACATTGTGTAACAAAGGAGCTTGTTTGATACAGTTATTTTATGTAATAAACTACTATGTAGCCACTACCAATCATGTTTTAAAGATACATTTAATAATTGGAAGAAATGCCCAATATGTTAGCTCAGGAAAACACCTTAAAAACAGCATGCACAGCATTTAACCAATGTTTTGTATGTAGTGTGCACATGCACAGAAAAAGCTGGAGGCTCATATTATTAGATATTCCAAGTTTTCTACAGCAAGCATAAATTGCTCTTTTGAAAAAGGCCTTTGTGATGTGTTTGAAAGGGAATGAGTCAGGCACACACTGAGCTGAGCAGCAGCATCTTTGTAAAGTGTCTGCCCACCTTTCTAAATGTGTGCCCTCATCAGTTCCATTCCCGTCTGAGGCTCTTTCAGCCCCTCTGATTGCTTTAAAGTACGACTGGCTAAGACGTGTCCTCTTGCTACTCTGTGCTTGCTGTTTCAGGGCCCCTGCCTGTTTCCGGCACCATACACCGTGTTTTTCCTAGAGGGACCCCAGGCCCTGAGTGAGACGAGGATGTATTGCTGAGCAGGATAGACTCAGCGGGACTTGGCTCACCATGTTCTCATTTTCCCAGTTCTTTTTTCACTAAGATAAGCTGGTCGTATTCCTTTTCTCTTTTCCCTTAATCTAAAAGGTTCATTTATTAGAATAGGGAAAAAAATAAAACCCTAATACCTTAGGTGGTTTCGACTAAGGCAAATTAGAATGGTAATGAGGCAGAAAAGGAGCCCAGGGAGTTATTGATCTCAGCGTGACAGGCTAGAGGAGCTAGGCAGGAAAGATCCCTCACCTAGTCTCTTTCAAAGGTTACAGTGGGAAGAGAGCAATGCAAATCTATTTTCTTGGCCTGGGTAGTAAATATTTATTGACATTCCTTTTGATTAACTCTCCTATTCAAATTTGAGCCCTCGTCGAAAAGTTTGTTGGGTCTCAATTTGTTTTATTGGTAACAACAGAGTTCTTAATAAGATAAAATGATGCTGTAGATGGAAAGTGGAAAAATAGAGTGGTTATCAGGAAAGCTAAATTTTAATAACTGCTCCAATACTTACCTTGAATAAGTCACTCAACTGAATGTCAGTTAACTTTTTTGAGCTACAGTTAGCATTTTTAAGCCCTCGTTTGCTCATCTGTATGGAGTTTTTACCAAGTAATCCTGTGTTACCTACCAGCTCTGCAATGCTATATTTCTAAAGTGAGAAATGAATCTCCTTTTGCATAAAGAACAAGCAAAGCCATCCCATGGGCTAGATTTTTGATAAGGAAATCAAGCATTAACCAAAGGAAAACAAAATGGGAACTTCTCAAGAAAACAGCATAAATAGCCAACAAGCATGTGAGAAGAGGCTAACCTCACTAGTAGAGAAATACAAATTAAAGCCATGCGATGTAAAGCCATGAGGGCACTTAACCCCGAGCGAGTAGGGAAAGGCTTCCAGTAGAAGGGACATAAAAGGGATGAATGCGAGTTAGCGTCGCTCAAGTTAGCTTCGCGCGCCTTCTGTTTGGGGAAAGACCATGTATTCCCTCCGTTGTTTCACTGGTGTCATGGGAATAAAAACATCTGGACGCTTTTGTGGACTTTTCCAAACCTTAATAGTTTATGATTCTGTGCGATTCATATTAAGAGATTCAATTCACTTCGTTCGAAGTCTTAGCCATGTCTCCCATTTTATCTTTTGTTCTCTCTATTATCTGTATCATCCAAAGCAGCAGAACCAAACGTTTTTAGCACCAAGGACTGGTTTCGTGGAAGACAGTTTTTCCATGGGGGCGTAGAGGGCGGTGGGGGTGGAGGCAGAACTCAGGCGGTAATGTGAGTGAGGCTT